TGTAATCCCAGCTACTAGGGAGGCTGAGTTAGGAGAATCACATGAACCCGGGAAGCAGAGGTTGCAGCAAGCGGAGATCATGCCGCTGCACTCCAGTCTGGGCGACAAGAGCAAGGCTCCATCTCAAAATAAATAAATAAATAAATAAATAAATAAATAAATAAATAAATAAAATGAGGTTCAGTCATTCAGCCCCGCCTCAGCCCTATGCGGGAGGTCTATCACTGTGCCCATTTTACAGACGGGGAAACTGAGGACCAGAGAGGTGAGTCCTGGAGACGTCAGGTCCCTCAGCCTCAGCCTCTGCCCCTGTAGTCCCAGGGACCCGACTGTTCGTCCTGGGTGGCCATTCAGAGACCCCACAGAGAGGAGGCTGAGGGGTGGTCTCTGTGATGGCGACGCCCCCACCGCTCGCCCGGCTTGGGTGCTCCCTCTGCCCCGGCGCCTGGCCCTCCATCTTATCTAAAAATAATCAGGTTCCTTGGCAGACGTGCAGGCAGACAGACGCTGAGCTCAGCGTTATCAGCTCTGGCAGCCTGGATGCAGGACGAGTCACATCCGCCCCCTCTGGAACCCTGACCCCTCCACGGAGGGCTGAAGCTGGGGGGCAGGTGGACAAGCCCAGCCAGGCAGACCCCCTTCCCCAGCCCCACCCATGGATCACCCAGGTCAAAGACAAAGGTGGCAGGAACCAACATCGAAGGCCGCAGGAAGAGAGTCATGCTCCTCCGGCCCACCAGCCAGACCCCAAGGCCAGGATGCAATCGCTGTGTGACCTCAGGCAAGTTGCCTAACTGTCCTGAGCCTGTTTCTCATCTTCCACATGGCACAAACATTGCCCAGGCCTTATCAGAGCTGGGAGGTAGTGAGGAGAGCATACTCCTGAAGCACTTGAGGGCATGTGGAGACTTCAATCACGAGACAGTCCGCCCTGTTACTACTTTCTTCTATTTCTTTTTTTTTTTGTATTTTTTTTGAGACAGGCTCTCACTCTGTCTCCCAGGCTGGAGTGCAGTGGTGCGATCGCAGCTCGCTGTAACCTCTGCCTCCCTGGTTCGAGTGATTTTTCTGCCTCAGCCTCCAGAGTAGCTGGGATTACAGGTGCTTGCCATCACGCCTGGCTAATGTTTGTATTTTTAGTAGAGACGGGGTTTCACCACATTGGTCAGGCTGGTCTTGAACTCCTGACCTCAAGTGATCCACCTGTCTCGGCCTCCCAAAGTGCTGGGATTACAAGCGTGAGCCACCGCGCCTGGCTGTATCCGTTTCATAGACAAGGAAAGCTATGGGTCAGAACCATGAGCAGTGTTCTCCCTCCCAGGCTCCGCCGTGGGCTTTTTCACCAGGGTTATTTTATCCAGTTTTGTGCTGGGATCAGACACCTGAGCCAAGTACTGTCTCTGAGAGTCCCCGGGTCTCTGTGTTCCTGAGCAGGTTACTTTCCTTTCGAGGCCTGAGTTTCCTCATCCGCAAAATGAGATGATGATTAAGCCAGGGGTAGTGGCACAGTGGCTCACGCCTGTAATCTCTGCACTTTGGGAGGCCGAAGCGGGAGGATCGCTTGAGGCCAGGAGTTCGAGACCAGCCAGGGCAACATAGTGAGACCCCGTTTTTACAAAAAAAAAAAAAAAAAAAAAAAAATAGGCCAGGCATGGTGGCTCACTCCTGTAATCCCAGCACTTTGGGAGGCCAAGGCGGGCAGATCACTTTGAGCTCAGGAGTTTGAGACCAGCCTGACCGACATGGTGAAACCCTGTCTCTACTAAAAATACAAAGTTAGCCGGGCACGGTGGCGCATGCCTGTAATCCCAGCTACTTGGGAGGCTGAGGCAGGAGAATTGCTTGAACCTGGGAGGTGGAGGTTGTGGTGAGCTGAGATCGCACCATTATTGCACTCAGTCTGGGCAACAAGAGCAAAACTCCATCTTATAAAAAAAAGAAAAAGAAAAAAATTAGCTGGGTGTGGTGGCAGATGCCTGTAGTCCCGGCTACTCAGGAGGATCACTTGAGCCTGGGAGGTCGAGGGTGCAGTGAGCTGTGATCACGCCACTGCACTCTAGCCTGAGTGACAGAGCAAGGCCTTGTTTTAAAAAAATAAATCGGCCGGGCGCGGTGGCTCACGCCTGTGATCCCAGCACTTTGAGAGGCCGAGGCGAGCGGATCACAAGGTCAGGAGATCCAGACCATCCTGGCTAACACGGTGAAACCCCGTCTCTACTAAAAATACAAAAAATTAGCCGGGCGTGGTGGCGGGCGCCTGTAGTCCCAGCTACTCGGGAGGCTGAGGCAGGAGAATGGATGAATCCAGGAGTCGGAGCTTGCAGTGAGCCGAGATCGCGCCACTGCACTCCAGCCTGGGTGACAGAACGAGACTCTGTCTCAAAAATAAATAAATAAATAAATAAATGAAAGAAAAGAAATGAAGACCACTCTCAGGGTTGCCGTGGGAATGATCAAAGCAATGATATTTCCTGGCACACAGAGCCTCTGGAGTTAGCCTGGCACTGTGCTAACGGCTTTGCACACACTGTGTGTCCAGCACCCAGTGATTGCCACGACCAAAGGTGCCATAAACAGCACAGGAGCAAGGCCCGGTGCCTCAGTTTCCTCATCAGGAAACAGAGGAACAGATGAGAGAAACCCTTCCTCCAGCTAGGCTGCCCCAGCCTGGCCAACTGGGCCAGACGGCAGCCGAGGGGAGTGTGCCCAGCTCGGCCCCGAGCCCTGCAGCCGATCCCAGGCTGGGGCAGCCAGCGGCCCCTCGGAGCTGGCCAGTTCCATTTGGACTGCCTCAAGGCTGGGCACCGGTGGCCATGATGTTGGGAAGGGCCCAGCCTGGGCAGCCGGCCGTCTGGGCTCCAGGCTGTGGGCACAGGACCCTCTTCTGGAACCAGAGCCCACATGGACTCAGCAGGCTGCAGTGTCCAGCTGGCGTCCGGATGTTTCCCTGGGAAGCAAGAATGTTTCTTGGGCACCTACTAAGTGCCAGGCCCCCACGGTGGCTCCCAGCATGAGCTTGCAATTTGGGCAGCCAGGGAGTGGGGTCTCAGATGCATCCACGCCTCAGTCTTCTCATCTGTGAAATGGACACAACTACAGCACCCTCTCTTGGAAGCTATTTATGAGGGACAAGATGGTAATGAATGAAACATTGGCCAGGCGCAGTGGCTCACACCCGTATTCCCAGCACTATGGGAGGCCAACGTGCGTGGCTCAGGAGGTCAGGAGTTCGAGACCATCCCGGCCAACGTGATGAAACCTCACCTCTACTAAAAATAAAAAAATTAGTTGGGGCTGGGTGTGGTGGCTCACACCTGTAATTCCAGCACTTTGGGAGGCCGAGGCGGGCGGATCACGAGGTCAGATCGAGACCATCCTGGCTAACACAGTGAAACCCCGTCTCTACTAAAAATACAAAAAAATTAGCCGGGCATGGTGGCGGGCGCCTGTAGTCCCAGTTGCTGGGGAGGCTGAGGCAGGAGAATTGCGTGAACCCGGGAGGCGGAGCTTGCAGTGAGCTGAGACTGCGCCACTGCACTCCAGCCTGGGCGACGGAGTGAGACTCTGTCTCCGAAAAAAAAAATAAAAAATTAGTTGGGTGTGGTGGTGCATGCCTATAGTCCCAGCTACTCAGGAAGCTTAGGCAGGAGAATCACTTGAACTCAGGAGGTGGAAGTTGCAGTGAGCCGAGATTGGACCAACTGCACTCTAGTCTGGGTGACAGAATGAGACTCCATCTCAAAAAAAAAAAAAAGAAAAAAAAAAGGTGATGGATGAATTATTAATAAAACTCCCAGAACCATGGTTGCCATAGTCAGTGCTTCACCAGGCAGAGGGTGGCTTCACTACTATAGCTATTTGATTAATATCACTGTTGTTACTGTCTTCCATGGTGTTATTTTGTATCTGTTTTT